GGGGGTGGGGGGGGGGGGGGGGGGGGGGGGGGGGGGGGGGAGAGCGAGATGTCAGTCACGTGACGGCTCCAATATGGCGGCGCCGTGTCCCTGGCGCTGCGGCAGCTGCTGAGGGAGCCGCGTCTCTTCCGGATCATGGGCCGGAGCCTGTGAGCGCAGGGTCGCCCGTTCCGTGGGGGGCGGCGGCCATGCAGCCCCCGGCGCGGGAGCAGGACACGCGCACCAAGAGCATGTTCGTGTCCCGGGCTCTGGAGAAGATCCTGGCCGAGAAGGAGGCGAAGCGGCCGCCGCACGGGCAGCTGCGGAGAGCCTGCCAGGTGGCACTGGGTGAGTGCGCCAGGGGTGGGCCAGGCTCCTGCGCCGCGGGGTCGGGCTGCGCTGCCACGTTGGATCCTCCTGGACTTTGCACCTCCCAGGGAGGATCCCCGGGGAGGGGGCGGGCGGGATCGCTCCTCTCTACACACCTGGGGGAAGCAGAAGCAGGATGGGGGCATCTCCACAGGGAAGGGAAATGCTGCAGATCCTCCTTAGGCTCATCCCACCCTGGTGTCCCCCCAAGTCAGGTCTGGAGCAGGTGGTCACAGGCTCCTCAGCTTGAACAGCAGAGTTATCTATCCTGCTACTGCTTTGACATGTGCTGTCTCCTTCCAGCAAGGCAGCACTTGGAGGTGGCCATTTGTGTGTGGTGAGCTTCGGGGGGCATCTCTGCTGCTTTCTGCATCCCCAGTGCTTCATTTTAGAGCTGATGGTCTTCCTGCAAAAGTCATTTGCCTTCTAGCCAAAGTTGTCCGGGGCCGTTTTGGATGTGTTCCTATTTTTGAGGGATCACATCAACTTGAAATCAAATTGCAGTCGGTGTTGCAAATTCCTACTTGGAAACTTTAGTGTCTGCACAGTTTTTTGCACCCTTGTAGTTGGGTTTTTTCTGGGTTTTTTTTTTCCTTCAAAGTGTGTATTCCGTATTACTGTGCAAAAGACCCAAAAGGGAGAAAAAGACTAACTGAATAGGCAGGGAAGAGTGAAACTTTACATTTAGAAGGATACAAAGTCCTGTTAAATGTAAACAGACAGAAATAGTGATGCTGGCTTCTGCCACTTCCCCCCCCACCCTTGTACAACAATATTGGGTGTT